GATTATATGATTTGTCCAAAAAAGCCATGATAATAAGTTTTTTCTGTGTAACGGGATTGTTAATTACTCGTTGGTTTTTTTCGGGACATTTACCATTTAGTGATTTATATGAATCCCTAATCTTTCTTTCATGGGGTTTTTCAATTTTTCATATGGTTCCTTTTTTTAAAAAGGAGAAAAACCTTTTAAGTACAATAATTGCACCAAGTGTTATTTTTACCCAAGGCTTTGCGACTTCGGGTCTTTTAACCAAAATGCATCAATCCGTAATATTAGTACCCGCTCTACAATCCCATTGGCTAATGATGCACGTAAGTATGATGATACTGGGCTATGCAGCTCTTTTATGTGGATCATTATTATCAGTGGCTATTTTAGTCATTACGTTTCAAGAAGTCATCCAAATTCTTGCTTTTACCAAGAATTTGGATTCTTTAAAAAAATCAGTTGATTTTGTTGAAATCAAATACATGAATAGGAATGAAAGAAACAATGTTTTACGAAAAACTTCTTTTTCTTCTTCTATAAATTATTACAGGTCTCAATTTATTCAACAATTGGATCGTTGGGGTTATCGTATTATTAGTCTGGGTTTTCTCTTTTTAACGATAGGTATTCTTTCAGGAGCAGTATGGGCTAACGAGGCATGGGGTTCCTATTGGAATTGGGATCCAAAGGAAACTTGGGCCTTTATTACTTGGACCATATTCGCGATTTATTTACATACTAGAAAAAATAAAAAATTAGAAGGTGTAAATTCTTCAATAGTGGCCTCTATAGGATTTCTTATAATTTGGATATGTTATTTGGGGATCAATCTATTAGGAATAGGACTACATAGTTATGGTTCATTTACATCTAATTGACTAAAAATGAGTAAAGAACCTGAGAAAGAAAAATATGGAAAGCATATAAATATATACGTTCCATAAATCGTTGAGAACCCTTTCAATCAAGTAATGTAATGATTCAAGGGGTTCTCACAAACAACAAACATATTCGATTATCATTTCAAATTTTGAAGTGAATCTAACGGAAAAATCTTTTTTTATCTTTTTGATTCATTTATTCACAAAAATCATCCATCAAAAATTAGATAGAATAGCTTCAACCTTGTCAACCGAAAATGAGAAAATGAAATCTGGATAAATACCAATACCTATTATGGGTATAAGAATTGAAATCGAAATAAATAATTCTCTGGGCCCTGAATCAAAAAAAGAAGAGTTTGGTGTATTAAAAAATTTGTATCCATAGAACATCTGCCGTAAGATAGATAATAAATAAATAGGAGTTAATATAATTCCAATTGCTGTTACAAAAGTAATTAGTATTTTCATCATGAAAAGATATTTTTGACTAGTAATTATTCCAAAAAAAACTATCAATTCTGCAACAAAACCGCTCATGCCAGGCAATGCAAGAGAAGCCATTGATAAGATAGTGAAAATAGTGAATATTTTTGGCATTGGGATAGCCATTCCGCCCATTTCGTCAAGATAAAGAAGACGCAGTCTATCATAACTAGTTCCTGCCAAGAAAAAAAGGGCAGCGCCAATAAATCCATGAGATATTATTTGTAAAATGGCCCCGTTGAGACCAGTATCACTTATAGAATTTATTCCTATAATTATAAAACCCATATGAGATAATACCGAAGAATAAGCTATTCTTTTTTTTAAATTACGTTGACCAAAAGATGTTGAAGCGGCATAGATTATTTGAATAGAACCTAATATCATTAACCAGGGGCAAAATATGGAATGAGCGTGGGAAAAAAATTCCATATTAATTCGAACCAACCCATACGCTCCCATTTTTAATAAGATTCCGGCTAAAAGCATACAAGTGCTGTAATGTGCCTCTCCGTGGGTATCTGGTAACCATGTATGTAAGGGTATAATCGGCGATTTGACAGCAAAAGCAATAAGAAATGCCGTATATAATATTATTTCTAGTGCCACGGGATACGATTGATTAATTAATGTTTCAAAATTTAATGTTGGTTCATTAGAGCCATATAAACCGATACCCAGAATTCCCATTAATAAAAAAATAGAAGCTCCTCCAGTGTACAAAATAAACTTTGTAGCTGAATACAAACGTTTCTTTCCCCCCCACATGGATAAAAGTAGATAAACGGGAATTAATTCCAATTCCCACATGATGAAAAAAAGTAAAATGTCTCGAGAAGAAAATGGTCCGATTTGACCGCTATACATTGCTAACATCAGGAAATAGAATAATTGGTATTCTCGAGTAACCGGCTGAGCCGCTAAAGTGGCTAAAGTAGTTATAAATCCCGTCAGTAAAATAGGTCCTATAGAGAGTCCATCTATTCCTAATCTCCAGTAAAAATCAAAAAAATTGATCCATTTAGAATTCTCCGTCAGTTGAATTAGTGGATCATCCAATTGGAAATGATAACAAAATGCATAGGTTGTTAGAAGGAGATCGATTAAGCATATACAAATGCTATACCACCTAATTACCTTATTTCCCCTATGAGGAAATAAGAAAATGAAGGAACCTGCGGCTATTGGGAAAACAACAACTATTGTTAACCAAGGAAAATCATTCGTGATAAAAATAAGATACACTTGGGCCAGAAAAGCCCGTGCTCAAAATCAAATAGAAAATTTTTTTCTATTTGATTTTGAGCACGAGTTTTTGCCAGTAAAAAACGTATTCGTGTGGTGTTTTTTGAAACGTATCAATAAGCTAGACCCATACTTCGAGTTGTTTCATGCCATAAATAAACTCGAATACTTAAGAAATCTGTCGGACAAGCGGACTCACACCTCTTACAACCAACACAGTCCTCTGTTCTTGGGGCAGAAGCTATTTGCTTAGCTTTACATCCATCCCAAGGTATCATTTCTAATACATCTGTGGGACAGGCTCGGACACATTGAGTACATCCTATACATGTATCATAAATCTTTACTGAATGTGACATTATATCTATAGTAATTTTTGATGTTCAAAAATGAAAATTATCGATCTAGTAAACTCGTAAATGAATCGTATATTTATATACCAGATGAATCAATGATTTGTGATAATATTGTTAACTGTTAATAAAAAAGGCGTCTAGATAAATTTAGAAGAGGAAATAGAAGAGGACCAGGATACTTTGATTTCTTATGATTTAGGGAATGCAAACATGATATGATCATAAGTTGTGTCGAATAAATACTAAAATGAATTGATTAATATTACACTATTTGAAATTCTACTTTGTTTCTTTTTTATTAATTATGATATGATTCATGCTATTTATTCAACAAATTCGATTGATTGATACGGGTTGATTTTCTGTTACGAGCAATTGAGGAAACAATAGCCAGTCCGATAGCCGCTTCAGCGGCTGCAATAGCTATAACAAAAATTGAAAAAATATTTCCTTTTAATTGGCGATTATCAAAAAAATCAGAAAAAGTGACTAGATTTATATTCACTGCATTCAATATAAGTTCAAGACACATAAGGGCTCTAACCATATTTCGGCTCGTGATCAATCCATAGATACCAATAGAAAATAAATAGGCACTCAAAACAAGTACATGTTCGAGCATCATTGACCAACTCCTTATCAATTTTGATTCATTTCAATATGAACAACAATTCAACAGATTCAATTGACTAAAGAATATAACAAGTCTGCAACAAAAGAATATATTGGCAATAAAAAAAAAGAATTTCTACCTAAAAACTCTTTCACTTCACATTGAAAAAAAAAAAATACATATATATATATAGTCTTGATTTATATTAGTAGTTCTCTAAAGATTTCTTACTGGCGAGCTACGACAATTGCACCTATCAAAGAAACTAAAAGAATTATTGAAATTAGTTCAAATGGAAGAAAAAAATCTGTTGATAAATGAATTCCAATTTGTTGACTAGTACTTATCAAATCTTGTTCAATAATCTGATTTGGTCTTGTAGTCCAAATAATTCCGTACCATGATGTATCTGAAATAATAGTTATTAGTGAAACAAAAATACTTGTACAAACTATCAAAGTAATTCCATCCCCTATGGTCCAAAGATGAAAATCTTGGTAATATTCGGAACTATTCATGAACATCACAGCAAATATGATTAAAATGTTAATAGCTCCCACGTAAATAAGTAGCTGTGATGCAGCTACAAAATGCGAGTTTGCTAAAATATATAAGAAAGAGATACAAACAAGAACCAGTCCCAACGAAAAAGCAGAAAAAATGGGGTTGGTAAGTAATACTACTCCTAAACTTCCTAATATAAGACCCGATCCCAGAAAGACTAAAAGAAAATCGTGCAGCGTTTCAGGCAAATCCATTATATGTAAAAAAAAAAAAGACAAAGAAATCGAAATTTCATGACCTTATTGATATGACCAGGAAAAAATTGTTATATACTTAAATTTTTCTTTGCATTGAAAAAACCTAAGTAGTTTAAATTGATATAGTTACGGTTATATAATCAATGTCATTCCACTTAAACTACTCTTTATACGAAAGAGTAGTTTGAAACGATATTAAAACTAAAGTATAAAGGTAGATAGAACATATATAACCATTTGAACTAGTCTTTAAATTAAAGAATATTTCAAATTTCGATAATATATTTCTCTATTCTATTTAAGAATATATTTCTCTAATAATTAGAGAATATTTCTAATCCAATATCGATTATATGATTCATTTTTTATACAATTTTTGAAAATATTTTATTTCGATTATTCTATATATTCTATATATATTCTATATATATATAGAAATCTATATATATATAGAATATTCTTTTTTTTTTTAGAATTGTATTTTATTAAATTATAAAAAATTGTCTTTTTTTATTTGATTTGAATTGTTCGAATTGTATAATCATCAATTATTGACATTGGTAAACGGCCCAAAGCAATTTGATTATAATTCAATTCATGACGATCATAAGTTGAAAGTTCATATTCTTCAGTCATTGATAAACAATTTGTTGGACAATACTCAATACAGTTACCACAAAAAATACAGATTCCGAAATCAATACTGTAATTTAGCAATCGTTTCTTTCTAATATCCGTTTCCATTTTCCAATCAACAACGGGTAAATCTATAGGACATACACGAACACATACTTCACAAGCAATGCATTTATCAAATTCAAAATGGATTCGACCGCGGAAACGTTCTGATGTGATTAATTTTTCATAAGGATATTGAATAGTTACAGGTAAACGATTTGCGTGAGATAAGATAATCATGAAACTTTGACCAATGTACCTTGCAGCTCGGACTGTTTGTTGACCATAATTCATGAACCCAGTTACCATAAGGAACATATCGTAAATATCTATGAATAGTTTTGTTTTATTTCTTTCTCTTATTTGAGACAAGTAATGAATATAGAAGATCCATCTTTTACAGCGAAAACAATTGAGACGAAGTTGTTAATAATAGATTACCGAGAGAAATAGGTAAAAGAAATTTCCATCCAAGATTTAATAATTGATCCATTCTTAGCCTAGGCAAAGACCATCTTGTTATGATAGAAACAAATAAGAAAAAATAGCTTTTAGCTAATGTAATAAAGAGATCAATTGTAGTTCCAAAAACTCCGTATGTTTTATTTATTTCAAAAAATTCAGAAACAAATATGTACGGAATAGAGATATTTGAACCGCCCAAGTAAAGAACTGTTACAAATAATGAAGAAATTAAAAGGTTTAAATAGGAAGCAACGTAAAATAAACCAAATCTAATACCTGAGTATTCTGTTTGATAACCAGCTACTAATTCTTCTTCTGCTTCTGGTAAATCAAAAGGTAATCTTTCACATTCTGCTAGCGAAGAAATTAGAAAAACGATGAAACCCATAGGTTGACGCCACAAATTCCAACCCCAAAAACCATATTTTGCTTGCGCATCAACTATATCAACTGTACTTAAACTGTTAGATAATCCTAGTCGGTGATAACATTACTGTTCCCATCTCTATTACAGAACCGTACATGAAATTTTCACCTCATACGGCTCCTGGAAAGCCTTAAGTAAATCTAAGGACCGGGTCAATTATTTCTCTCTTGCTATATCCCTAAGATATAGAAGATGAAAATAGATCGAACGGTTCTGAATTAGACCAATTCAATTCTGTCTGTTCTAGAAATAACGAAATAAGAAAGAGAAATATAGTTTAATAAAAGATCCAATGTAAGGCACTTCTGAATTGATCTCATCCCTCAAAAATAAAAATTTGTTGAGTAATAACTGAATTCTTCAATAAAATACTCTTTTATAATTCTCAATAGCCCTCATGATTTTGAATTACGAAAAAGAATTAAACATTCGTTTCTTAATTATGATTTGATCTCCATGAATATGGATATGGATATAAGAAATCAAAAACGAAAAATAGATTTCTCTTTCGTTTTTGATTTCTTATGTTTTTTTTTTCGTTCCTATTCTTCTTTTTTGTGCTATGAAAAAGGGACTTAAAAAATTTTAAAGGATTTTTTCGTTCCTGATAGTCATTTATTTAATGAGTGGATGGAAGCATACTCTGGATCGGAGTTGTGGGGAGTACTGCTTTATTTTTTCTACCAACTTAAAGCCCCAATTAGTATTCTTTTTATATTCTGCGTAAATTGTCTTTTGGATAATTTACAAAATCTGTGTTACTAATCCTTTGTGTATCTTGGTGTTTCTAACCATCCACTCTTTTTTATTAATCCCCCTTATTTATTTTAATATATCTATGAGAATTCATAAAAATGGTAACTAAAACTCAATAAGGTTGGTCTTTAGAGCCCGCTTCAAAACAGGATGACAAATTATCCAATCTTGGGTTAAATGGCCTCTTCTGTTTATAATTTTATTTCATTCTTATACATAGAAAATGAGACTCAATATTTTTACTGCCATTAAAAATCATCATACTATCTATTAACTAGAAGTAAGAAAGTATTCTGAAATTCTATTCAATATAAGCTGTTTTATTTCACTCATATAACTATCTAATTTAGTTCTTCAATCGGAGAAAAATAAAGATAATGAAGGTTTCTATTCAATTGATTCGCCTCCTTTCCTATATAGTACTATAAAGAGAGGAGCATAGCAATAGCATCGAATAACTTTTTTGGTTTCAACGAATCGCACGTAGAGATATTGATAAGACACATAGAGTTAATGGTATTTCATAACTAATCGATTGAGCAGCAGCTCGTAGACCACCCAAAAAGGAATATTTATTATTTGAGCCATATCCTGACATAAGAAGTCCAATGGGAGCAATACTCGAAATAGCAATCCATAAAAAAACACCTATCTTGAAATCAGATAAAACAAAGTTATAGCCAAAGGGAATTACTGAATAACTTATTAGAATTGATATTATTGATATGGATGGTCCAATACTGAATAAACGAATATCTCCCCTAGATGGAATAAGATTCTCTTTGAATAGTAGTTTTGTTCCGTCTGCTAGAGCTTGAAGAATTCCAAAAGGACCAGCGTATTCAGGTCCAATACGCTGTTGTACCCCTGCTGATATTTCTCTTTCTAACCATACAATTGCTAGTACACTTATTGTGATTCCCAAGATAAGAATCAAAATTGGTACAAGTATCCATAGAATTCCATAGACCTCTTTGAAAGATTCCAATCCGGAAAAGGAGTTTATATCTTGGACTTCCGTTGTATCAATTCTCATTTCAACGATCAACTTCTCCCATAATGATATCTATGCTACCTAGTATTGTCATAATATCAGCCAATTTCATTCTTTTAACTAATTGAGGAAGAATTTGCAAATTGATAAAACCAGGTGGACGAATTTTCCATCTCCAAGGAAAACCATTCTGATCTCCTATTAGAAAAATTCCTAATTCTCCCTTGGGGGCCTCAACTCTCACATAAAGTTCTTGTTTCGGCAATTCAAAAGTAGGAGACGATTTTTTACCAATGAATCGATATTCAAAATCATTCCATTCTGGCTCCTTTTCTCTATCAAAGCAGCGGATTTCAAAATTTTCATAAGGCCCCCCTGGAATTCCTTCCAAAGCCTGTTGAATTATTTTTATGGATTCCACCATTTCACCAATTCGAACTAAATAACGAGCTAATGAATCTCCTTCTTTTTGCCATTGAACTTCCCAATCCAATTCCTCGTAACACTCATAATTATCAACTTCACGTAGATCCCATTGTATTCCGGAAGCCCGAAGCATCGGTCCTGATAACCCCCAATTTATAACTTCCTCTCTACCAACAAAACCTACTCCTTCAACCCGTTCTAAAAAAATTGGATTTCGCGTAATAAGTTTTTGATATTCAATAACCCTTGTTAAAAAATAATTGCAGAAATCAAAACATTTATCTATCCAACCATAAGGTAGATCAGCGGCTACCCCCCCAATACGAAAAAAATTATGCATCATTCTCATACCTGTCGCAGCTTCGAATAGATCATATATTAATTCTCTTTCTCTAAAAATATAGAAAAAAGGGGTTTGTGCACCAATATCTGCCATAAAAGGTCCCAACCATAGTAGATGAGAAGCTATACGACTTAACTCCAACATAATTACTCGTATATAGCTGGCTCTTTTAGGTACTTGAATATTTCCCAATTGTTCCGGCCCGTTTACAGTTATTGCTTCTGTGAACATAGTCGCTAAATAATCCCAACGTGTTACATAAGGCAGATATTGTATAATTGTTCGGTTTTCCGCTATTTTTTCCATACCTCTGTGTAAATAACCCAATATTGGTTCACAATCAATAACATCTTCACCATCCAGAGTAACAATAAGTCGAAGAACACCATGCATCGATGGGTGTTGAGGCCCCATATTTACTATCATGAGGTCTTTTCTTGTAGCTGGGATATTCATAGGTTTTTCCTCGATTCATTCTTCCATGAATCGTTCAAAAAAAAAAGTTCATCAAAATTCAGTATCTAATAAATCGAATAATTGAAAATGATTCTTTAAATTACCTAATTTGTGAATCCCGAATACCCAACCGATTTATTAAATTTTGATAACGTATTTTGTTTTTCTTTGACAAATACGACAATAGTCGTTTCCGTTTTCCCAGAATTATACGTAAACCTCCTTGAGATAAATCGTCTTTTGGGTGTAATTTAAAATGTGAAGTAAGTCTTTGTATTTTATTAGTGAAGTTGAATACTTGAAATTCAACCGATCCCGGGTTTTCTTCTTCTTTTTTTTTTTGTGAAATAACAGGTATAAATGAATTTTTTATCATAAAATGAAAGCTTTTCTTTCCCCCTCCTTTTTGGTAGATATTTTTATTGATCAGTAATAGTAATGACACTCATTTTGAATTTTTTATATCAAATTTTACCTTAATTTATTTAACAATTTTCACAATTCTGAATTTTTTTTTTTCAAATTCCTTATTAAGGAATGTAATTCAAATAGAGAATAAATACTATATTTATGTATTCAAAAAATAAAAAATTCTATTGTCTTGTATTTAAAAAATAAAAAAAAAAAAGACAATTTTGATTTATTCATTTTTCTATTGATTTATTTCTATCTAATGGAGACATCATTGAAGTCGTATCAATCCCACAATGCGTGTGCGCGTTTATTTTATTTATTGCAATTATCAATTATATGTGAACATATATATATATATATAAATAAATATTTATTTATATATATATATATATGTTCACATATCAGATATCAGATAGATATCTGAAATATTATGATAATGATAAATAGAACAAAAATCTAGATTTTCAATCGAGGATACATATGTATTCTTAATATACTGAAACGGCTTCCATTATGTGTATCAAACCAATAGCGGTTCATACAAGCTAAATCTTCGAATCGATAATTTGGCCAAAGAAAGAATTTTAAAGTCATTAGTTTTTTTGTATCGCTATCAATATCTTCATTTTGAGTCAAAACTTCAGAAGAATTATTTCGTTTTTTCTCAGTGTCATTTATTGTGTTTCTATGCACAGTATTTCTATTCTGTGGGTTCAAACAAATTAGAATTCTCAATTCTCTACGGCGTCTAGTGGACAAAAGATTTTCAGGAACAAGTAAATCATAGTTTCTTTTCAAAATTTTACGTTTGTGCCTCAATGATATGCTTATGGTTTGATATATAAAAAATTGTTCATAGTTTTTTCTAGAAATACGAATAGGTTCAATAAAAAACATTAGGTTGTCCCTCAATTCCTCTGTGTCCCTACATTCTGTATAACAAGTGTCCTTCATCTGCAGACGCGCCGTAATTTCAAAATCGAGGTCTGCCTTTTTTATAGACATTATGAAAAATTGTTTTAGATTTTTCAATCTAACCAGGAGACAATATAAGTTGATATTATCCATTAGTGTTTCTTGGACGGGAGTCTTACAGTGCAAATAAAAACCAAAATATTTATCTAGTAAGAAATTTTGTTCGCCATTTAGATCCTTCCTGTATCTAGTTATACTATACCGAGTGTCCCTATAATAGTTTGAGAGATATGATTTGAGATCTGCTTGCTTCCCGTATTCTTTCTTTTCTAACTTTAACTTGGCTACATCAGTAATGTTTTTGTTTCCATAAAACTGCACAAAAAAGAAATTCATTGGTAAGATCCAAGGATTCTTCTTATATGCACTTAATTTTGAAAAGAACCCAAATCTCGGAGTCAATAATTTCTGATTCGTTTTGGAATTCTTTTTTCTTTTTCCCATCCAATTTAGATACTTTCTATTCAGATTTTTTTCCATTGTTTCCATATCCATATCTATAATACCATCTTCTGCTATATAATTTTGGATAAAGCTATCGCCCATTATATCAAATAATTCTTTTTTATTTTTAGGTATGTTGTAATTAATCGTTTG